TATATATATGCGCTACTAGACAAAACATATATAGCAACGGAATTGTTATGGAATTTTCGTCGCTAATTTCATCCTTGCAACTATTTTACATCACAAATTTCTTCGTAAAAAAGGTTTGCGATAGAATTTATTAAAGAAATCGAATTAGTTACGAATTTTATGAGAGAAATTTTATTTAATTATATATATATATATGGATATTAAAATTTCTCATATTATAGAAGATAAAATTATCTTTTATACATATAAAATATGGGAACAACATGAGATCAGAATAAGAGAAAAATTAAATTCCATACACTTTTATCATCGAGTTAGAGATAAATTTTTTTTTTTTTTGATAGAGTTAGAGATAATTTTACTTCAATAGATTGAGAAACTTTAAAATATATATATTAAAATATTTTCTTATGACATTCAGATTCAGTCAACCCTATGATTCAGCTCAGAAGAGAAAGCGACTGTTCATTTGATGAACCTTAGTACTTGGGATAGGGAAAGTATGCCTCTGGATTTTGTCGTTAACATTTATTTCCATCGATTGAATAAATGAATGAAGTACGAATCAATAGTAATCTTTATCATTTACTTCTTCTCTCTTTCTTTCTATTTACTTATACCATAACTAGTTAAGAAAATAAAAAAATATGTACAGAAAAAGATTATAAAGATTCTTCGAAAAATCATTTATAAATTTCTGAGATTTTGAGGGATTATATACTTTGATTTTTAAACTTTTTTATTTTTTGTTATCCTTTAAAGCTTTTAATTATATTAGTTATGAAATTCGTGAACATATATTAATATATTCATCTTATTAAAATTGTGAACTTGTTAATAAATTTATTTTGTCTTAGACTAATTTATATTTATTAGAAAATAATATAAATCATTAAAAAAGACCTTCATTTAACAACTTAAATTTTTTGTTTAAATTGATTCTTTAGAAATTCTTTTCATTCAATTAATAAATAATTAAATATTATGAAGCATAATCAATACAATATCATATCGTATAAATTAAATCAAGTTTTTAATTTTTAATAAAAATAGAAATAAAATTTTTATTTGTTATTGAAATTAAAAAAATATTATTAATAAGAAAAAGAAAATAAAGATTTGATTTATACGATTCACAATATAAAAAAAGGGTCAAACTATACACAATATGTATTGCGACTCAATACTCTTGTTGAAAAGTTTCTTAACACGGATAGATGAGACTGTACATTGTCCATTATTTAAGTCTAGTAAACTCTCAAGTGAGGAAGCGTGTTCAAGAATAATATAAACTATTAAAAATGCCTTCATTTAATTACCACTTAAACTTTTGGGTCGAATTTAATTTCCAAAACAAAATTGGGTTGATTTTTTTTTTTTACAATATCTAGAAAAGATTTAAATACCGGTACAATTAATATCTTTCAAAAATCAAATTATAAATTTACTGATTAGTAAATGGAAGTGGGGCTTCTGTATTGTGTCCAAGCATGTTTCAGTACCATGCTTTTATTACTTGTTCGTTGTATGCCTCAAAACCATATCAATTCTCTCATGTGCCTGTAACATTGCCTGCTTTCTCTACTTCTGTTCCCTTTCCTTTTCCACTTTTAACCAATATATCTCCCATACCGCTAACGTTAAAATCCGATATTTACCCATTTGAAGTTATGATAAATGAAATGGGGGAACCCACAAAACAACCACTCACTATTCCAATAGGAGTTTAAATTTAATACAGCAGGGTAAAATTTTATTCCCCGGCCACCAGTACAGATAAATATGTACATTTATATTAACTTGAACGGGGGGAAAGAAGTTCCAACATATGATGTGGCACTGGAAGCCATGGTCCTCACATTTAAACGAAGAGTTTAACTGTGCAGTGCGAGGAAGTTAGATAACTATAATATTTAATGGGGTAGAATTTTATAAATCTTATATTAATTAACTGGTTCGAGACATTTATATTCTTGTAAAATAAAATAAAAACATATCATTGTATTTTTTTCCCCAGCTTAATCAATTAACTGAAAATTATGAAATTTGAAGGAGCAGATGACAAAAGTACGTTGTTAAATGTTAGCCACAGATACGAAGTATAGCTCGTGAGATGTAACGTTATATATGGAGGGAACCTTGTTCTTATGTAACGTATGTGTGTGGTTTTTGGTTTGGTCTCACGGGAATCCAGCCACCTCTCTCACGTGTTCCTCTCTCTCTCTCTCTCTCTCTGCCTTCTGGAGACCTGGCTGTTTTTCAGCGCGCGTAGAACTAGTAATTCCACGGCGCTGCACGTTTCTTTACAACCATAAAACACAAGCTTTTGTCGGTGGTTCCATCTCTAACTTGCGTGCTATAGCTATCTCTGAACTTCATATACTTGTTACATACAACACAAGAACGACAAAGAGTATAGAAGTATTTTTCCGGATTTTTTAGAAATTAAATTTTAACTTTTCGGATGTTAAACTAAATCTAAAAATCATATTTTTGAAAATCGAGATTTTCGAGTAAAAAATATTTTCTCCTGTACCCTCAACTCCAAACTATGCATGCTATTATTAGAAAATGAGACTCTGATTAAATCTTTTATTTACTGATTAATTCAATTGCAAGAGAGTAATTGCCTTCCGGAAATAGCAGAAAATCAGAGACCTGTCCACACTTGTGCTGCATAGTAATCTCGTAAAGTAAATATCTTTTTTTTTTTTTTTTTTTTGTATTGCACGTTATACTATACATCTCCTGGTTCCCAGAAAGGTATTCTATTCTATCAACTAAGCTGCAACAAGACAAACAGATAAATGGTTGATCGCGACCGTTAAAGTCCTGTTATGGATTGGGTATCTTTGCAGTTATACGGGTTTTCACAATTGTACTTCCTTCCTTATGTCAGTCTCAAATATATAAACAATTAAACAAGCGTCAAGCACACTGCATGGATTTATATGAGTTAAATGAATTCTCTTTTATCTATCTCTTCTTCTTTTTCTTTCTTGTGGAAATAAAATCTTTTGAACATAATCTGGGTCCATGAGTTCAATAAATTAATCACCTTTCCACTTGTAACTGAACATAACTTTTCAAGGGCTTGTACTACTTTTTGCTCATTCCTGCTGTTCGATTAAGTGGCAAAGCAAAGGTATCGTTAATAATGGAGCAGTGCCCTGCTGGCCAAAATAAACCACCAGTTCACTGCAATTAACTAAAGCTAATGATGTTCGATAAGCTAGATTAGAGGGATAGGAAAAAGTCACACGTGTGAGCTTTTATTTGGGCTTTTTTCATAGAAAGTAAGAGAGGTGCAGTTAACCTTTGGTTCAAAAGGGACGTTTCAAAGGAAGAAATAGACAAGCTGTTGGCAGTGTACAGAGCATCCAGTGCTGTTGCACTGCTGTTGTGTACTCCTTTACTTACTCATCTCTTACTACCATCCTCTCTACTACTCCCACTGCACCCTATCACTTGTTGTTGTTCTAGCTGCGGTTCCTGTTGTAGCTTATATTCTATTGTTATATTACTTTGTAGGTCATGTACCATCTTAATTATGAAATCCCTTACTTTACATTCTTCACTTCAGCGTAGCCTCATAAATTAATCTTTTTTGTGTTGGTTGACTCCTTTTTTATCACTTAACTGCTGTAACGAAAGAAACAAGTCATTGCAGGGTGGGGGTGGTTAATGCTATGTTCAACGAGAACACATGGAGGGTTTGAAAACTACTTTAGAAAAAAGGGCGACACTCGATTGTTTACAGAAATATGTGATTATTATTTATCATGTTATAAAAAAGATAATTTTATTTTATATGCATATATACAAAATGTGTAGGACCCATCTAAGGTCATGTGAAGAGGAGAGAAAAAAAAAACAAAAACACAGTCTCAACATATTTTTATGTGTGTATAAGAAATGAAATTATCTACTACAACATAAGAAATACTAATCCCCAAAATATGAAGAGAAATATTCTTACTACTAAAAAAATTCACTACCAATCTATTACCTATCTAATTATCATTGGATCATATAGAAAGAATGTTAAAAGTTCATGAAAAAAGAGAAAATATTGATCCATTAGTAATTAGATAAATAATAAATTGGTAATAAATTTTTTCTTATAGTAAAAATATCCCCTCCGTAAATATATACCTTAAACTTGTTCCTATAGAAATATATTTGAGGTACTCTCATCGATCGGATTGAGAGTACTATCGTAAGTGCTTTTATGATACATTTATACGTGCTAGTAACGAAAATCAGTTGTAACATCAACATCAAATTTCAAGAGTAAAGTCATTATAATTTATTTCCCATAAAAAATTTCATTATAATTTTGATCCACTTAAAATGTTTGTGGCTAAGAATTTTACAACTATATCCAAACACATGGTGTCAAAATCCCCGTATATATTACTTTTTTTGAGAAAGAATGGACCTGCACGTATGACGAAAAAGTTTGTTAAACATGTCCCAGCTGAGAAAGGAAAGTTACGTTTACTCGACACAAAATAATTATTAGCTAGTATTTGCACAATTACAGTACATGATGAAACTTGATTACATTACAATTTGTCATTCATCAAACCCCAATACACGTTTTCCTTCATTAATAACCTTATTAAAGGACTTGTTCTCTATCTAATAGTGTTTTGTTATAGCACTGGATCACGTCATAGTGACCCCACAGTATGGGTCATCTACTCCACTTTTTAGTATATATAATACCGACTCTCTTTTTTTGGATACATATATATAAATAATCCCTCTCTCTGTCTCTATATCTCTCTTCAATACCATTATGCATACAAAGACATAGCTTTTTTTTATTCCATTAGATCTGAAAAAGACCGGTACCCAACTTAATATATCATTTTACTAATTCCCAATCACCCTCTTTGATGAGGATCACAGGTTACCCACATCAAGATTCAAGACCCTTCCTTCCACTACTTCTTTTCCTCCATGCATGAAATCATTCAATTGGTGAGTATCTTTGCCTCTGCCAAAGGAAACTGAATACTGAAGCTAGCTTTCTAACCCCCCCACAAGGCTAAATTTCCTTAATTTCCTCTCAACTTTTTGCCTCTATTCCCTCCACATCTTCCTCTCAAACGATGTCACCCGATGACACACCACCTGCGAAGCCCGAAACAACAACAACAAAAGACCACGAGAACCAAGTTTCCGGTGGCCGGAAAACCGCCTCCACAAGGCCTCAAGAGCAAGGTATGAAGTGCCCGCGATGTGACTCACCCAACACAAAATTCTGCTACTACAACAACTACAGCCTCACGCAGCCAAGGCATTTCTGCAAAACGTGTAGAAGATACTGGACAAAAGGTGGAGCTTTGCGTAACGTTCCAATAGGTGGTGGTTGCAGGAAGAACAAGAAGGTGAAATCATCGAGGCTCTCATGTGACTCCAAGGACTCTGCTTCCTCTTCAGAGCTTGGTAGCCTCAAGTTCCTTCATGGTCTTTCACCTTCTGTGGACTTTCAGCTTGGTGCGTTACCGTTACCGTTACCGTTACAGTTCCCTAGGTTGCATCATCACCCTCCTAACACTTCCATCTATAACCAGTTCTCTTCTTTTGGAGACACTACTTCTGCTTCTGTCACAAGTGCTTCCTGTTTCAACCTTGACCCTTCTTCTGGTACCTCAAATTCTTTGCTTGGTCTGAATTACCCGTTTTCTTCAACTGGAAGCGATTATAACGGTGCAATCCAGGGAATGAACTCCATGAACATTCACAGTAGCATCGCTTCTTCAATTGAGTCTTTGAGTTCTATAAACCAGGATTTACACTGGAAGCTACAGCAACAGCGATTAGCGACGCTTTTTGGTGGAGATAACCAGAAAGATAGTAGCGTTTCACAGGATAACCCTGAGAATCATCAGACCCAGAAACCGCAACCCATTTTGTTTCAGAGCCTTGAGCTTTCAAAGCCAGGGATTTTCCCAGTTGATAATTCAAGAAAAGAAGGTTCAGGCGGGGATGCACATACACACACTGAATGGTTCTTTGGGAACTCTTATGCATCGGTGACTCCTACACCAACTACAAGTAGTGGTGGTCCTGGCCATGATAATGGAACCAACAACTGGAATAGTGGTGTCAATGCTTGGAGTGATGTTCAGCCGCAGCAGCAGCAATACAGTGTTTTGCCCTAGCTAGATGAGAAAAAAGAGGGAGGATAAAGAGGACTAAGAGGTATTATACCTTTTTCTTTTTTCAAAAGAAAAAAAAAAAAAAAAAAAACTTTGGAATAGGGCATATCTGATAGTTGTCTTAAACTCCTTTAGGTATATGTTAATTATGTCTTGTTCTTTTACGTTGGGTTCAAAGGAACATATATGTAACAGATTGGAAAATTAAGACCATAACGTTTTGTCATAAAACTCACAGTCATGTGTTCATATTCTTAATTTTTTTTGTTTTTTTGGATACCAACCTTAATCATCTCTTTGAGGTGAGTAGGTTCCATAAATTTTGACTCTTTAAACTGACTATGAAAATAATATTGAAAGCGGACGAATCAAGAATTAAGTTCGTATGGCCCTTTCAAAATTCTTAATTAACATTAGATTTCATGTTCATTACTTGCACTCTATGTACCACATGTACTTCAACGTGCCGACTTTTGAAAATTGTTCATAATTGTTTTGAATTAAGTCTTGTATTAATTAATTTGTAAGCTGTTGCTGATATCTCCCCTCAATATAACATTGGGATCTGTGATTGATTTTTTTGGAGTGTTGTGAATTTAAATGGAGAGAGGAGAATTTAACGCCATATCTACGATTTGTTTTATGTTCAGTTCATATCCGGAACTTAAACACCAATGTCTCAGAGCGTGTCCCTTTCTGTGTCTATCAGAGAACTGAATCTCAGGCTCTTCAGCTACTGATCAATGCAATACACAAAACACGCAGTGGCTGGGCGTAGCTTTCGCTGCTTGGCCTCTTGATAGCCCTGCACTATCAAGGCCTATAGCCCTGCTCTCTCTCTCTCTCTCTTGATATGTTGCTAAGGCTATTCGTAATTAATAATTAGAGTAAATACTTTTTTGCTGCTCACTAAATTTCACGATGCCCGCTTTAGTCCTTAGCAAATAAAAAGGCTCATTGTGGTCCCTAAGAAATTCAAAATGAATCCATTTAGTTAAAATTGTGGTCCTCACAAATTTTAAAAAGACCCATATTAGTCCCTAAAAGTACTAAAATGAGTCCATTTTGAATTTTTTAAGGATCACGACGGACCTTTTTATTTGCTAGGACTAAAACGGGCATCATGAAATTTCTTTAAGGACCAAAAATGATATTTAGTCTAATAATTATTGTTGCAGTGTGGTGTGATTTGGTAGTGTCTGAAAAAGTGGAGGTTTGAAAGTGAATTGAATGAAACACTGTCAACGGTTGAATAAGAGAAATAAAAATATGGCATCTACAGCATGGGGTTCGGGTTTTTTTAGTGTAGCAAAAAAAAAAATGACAATGAAAATGTTATGTTTAGCTTTATAGAGTATGTTGGAGAGTGAGCCCTTTCATCCGTGCTATACTGCTATTTGCCACTGAGATCAACTCTCGTTGCAATTCTGTATGATGTACAGAGAGGGGAAAGCAAAGCAGTAAGCATTTGCTTTTCTTGCTTGCTATCATCTTTATTCCTCACTTTCACTGTTGGCGCCAAAAAACTCAGACCCCACTAATGCAGAAAAGATTAGCATTATATGCTTTTCCTGCCTTATTCCTCACATCATAACTACAGAAATATGTATGTATACGAAGTGTATTTCCTCTAGTTATGTAAAATAAGTTGACCTATGTATAGTTGTGTAATAATGTTGTAATAATGTGTCTCCTATATATACAGAAAATAATTATAGGCCTTAAATTCTTATAACAACTATTAAGTAACATGTTAATGGCTGCATTCTTTTTTCTTTTTCTTTTTTTGGAAATAATAATGGCTGCACTCCTTTGGCTTAAAAGGAAAACATCAACCCAATGGATATATCTCAATTGGCAATAACGGCTTAGTAGGGATAGGAGAGAATCTGATTCGATTTTCACGGTATTATATCCTTGGGCAAAAAGCTTTATTTGAGAATGATTTCATATTCAACTCAGAAAATTAAAACTCATATGAAGATCAGAGAGCCGACTCGCCTCAAAGAAGTAATAAGATCAGTATAAAAAAATGCCACTTTGATTGCAAACACTTTGCTCCCACAAAACTGTTAGCTTTTAGGCTCATTTGTTATATTCTTCGAAAGGTTATATATTCTCTATATTTGTTCTAAAACAAAATTATATTCTCTGTATATTTATATATGATTGGGAACTTTTTCTTCTTCCTTCTTTTATTCTTTCTTTTGTTCGTATACAAATAAAACGCACCTTTTATGAAGCTCTATTTTAATTTCAAGTAATAAGTTATGTCCTGAACGAATTAAGGAAGTACTCAGTCATTTTTGTCCAAGTAAATTATAAGCTTTATTTTTGTAATTTTTTTCCAAGATCTATGAAGATGAGGGGTGACTTAGGAAATGAAGAACGTGAAGTTGCGTGATTAACGTGATGGAGTTGGAGAGAGAAACTTACTTTTTTGTTGGAGTGCTGTGTGTGGCAAACCATCATTTCACAGCTTACAAGTGCAAGAAGCTCATGAGATGAGATCTTGAAGAGAAAAACCCATTTCTCTACTCCTCATCATTCCCTTCCTTGTCCAACACCGAAACTGGTGGTCCCACCATCTTTGATCACTCGATGGTTTCCCCCACTAACCACTGCATGCAATCATATGTATGACAAAAAACATAAAGGAATTAAATACCACATACACGACCAGGAAATTTTCTAGATAATTTTATGGAAAATATTGCTCTCATGTGACATGAGAGAATTATTCTCTCATGCACTCACAACTTAGATGAAAGAGAAGAGAAAAAAAATAAAAAATGAGCTTCATCCTTGATTTGTGAGTACGTAAAAAAAAAATATGTCACATGAGAGTAATATTTTCCCAATTTTATTATAGTTTATGGGGTTTTGGTTTTCAATAAGATTCACCATTTTAACTATCGCAAAGTATTCCTTTATGCATATGCTTTAAATACTATTAATACCAATGGTTTATCTTTCAAAAAATAAATAAAAATAAAAATAAAAAATATATCAATGGTTTCTCATGATCATCATATACTTACAAGGTTGTGGAATATCTCAAACCCAAGTTAAACAATTGATGTCTAGTAGCTAATTGTAGGTACGGGGTGTAAATAGGTTGAGATAGGCTAGGCTTTGACTTAAATAAGCTAGGCTTGTGTAAAAAATATTTTGTCTGACCTGACCTATTAGTCTGTGTAGGTCCCAAATTACAAGTCTGGCCCGACCTACATTTAAAAAATAAAAGTCTTGGCCTAGGCCTGTTAGCCTGTTTAAGCCTATTAAACATTCAACAATTAAAAGAATAACTAAAATAATATTATTTTATTATTTAAAATTATTAAAATTGTAAAGAACCTTGGGATACACCACCTCAAAAGCTAGCTCAAAGGGTGGGAGTGTCCAAGGCCGTATAAACTCCACATTAGTTGCTCATATACAACCAATGTGGGACTATATATCTCAACACGTCCCCTCACATAAGAGCTCATTGGTTGTATGAGCAACTAATGTGGAGTTTATAAGACCTTGGGCACTCTCACCCTTTGAGCTAGCTTTTGGGGTGGTGTATCCCAAGGTTCTTATCAAGTGGTATCAGACAGTGTTTTAAAACTCGGACCGGTCATCGAACCGGTCGAGGTACTGGGTCACTAATTCAACCGGGTTGAACCGGATTTACTATTCACATATTAAAAGTATAAAAATATTACTTATATTAATAAAAATTCACATAAGAAAACTATCAATGAGCTTCAAAAAATAAATTGATTTTCAATAATAGCAAATATTATATACTTCTAAGCTTCTAGTTTTAGACCATATCCTAATATTGGATTAAAATTGCAATATAACTTAAATGCGTCTTTTGTGCTTGACATGATACGGATAAATTAAATCATTATAACAAATAGTATGCATGAAATATACACTAAGAAAAGAGTGTCACCGTTATCATGATAACAAATAGTATGCATGAAATATACACTAAAAAAATTACATGAAATCATCAGTGTTTATCACCACTTAACTTCATGAAATCATTATAAGATGCAACTAAATTACATAAACGAACTGCACTAATCTAAAATACCTTATTATTTTCACCTTACTTTTAATCATATTCATCATAAAATACGAATATGATTTAATTCAAGAGTTTTTATCAACAAAAAAAAAATTTACCAAAAAATAAAAAATAAAAGATATAATTGGTCTAACCCGGGTCAACCGGGTCACCAGGTTTCGGCCGGGTCAACCGGTCCAATCCGGGTTGACTGCAGAAGCGGTCCAACTACCTGCTCGGACCGGGGAACCCACTGGGTCACCGAGTCCCGGGTCGACCCGGCCGGTCCGAGCCGGATTTTAAAACACTGGTTTCAGAGCCTCGTGTCCCGGGTTCAAACCTCGCCGCCCTCCACTTTCTCTTGTGGAATTTCTTAGCACAGGTAGGCTGGGTCTGTTGCATCATCCACTCTTCAAGCCCAATGGGCTCTTGTGTGAGGGGGCGTGTTGAGATATATAGTCTCACATTGGTTGTATGAGCAACTAATGTGAAGTTTATATATCTCAACACGCCCCCTCACACAAGAGCCCATTGGGCTTGAAGAGTGGATGATGCAACAGGCCCAGCCTACCTGTGCTAAGAAATTCCACTTGAAAGTGGGGGGCGGTGAGGATCGAACTTGTGACCTTGTAGTCACTCAAGCTTTGATACCATGTAAAGAACCTTGGGATAAGAATTTCTTTATTCGTTTATTCCAAGGTTCTTTACATGGTATCGGAGCCTTGTGTCCCGGGTTCGATCCTCACTGCCCCCCACTTTCTTTCTAGTGGAATTTCTTTTTTCGCACAGGTAGGTGGGCCTGTGCATTGTCCACCCTTCAAGCCCAGTAGGCTCTCGTGTGAGGGGGCGTGTTGAGATATATAAAATCATTAATGTAGCCTCACCCAATAGCTTAAGCTTTTGGGTTGAATTGGTTCTTTACATGTTATCAGAGCTTGAGTGACTACAAGGTCACAAGTTTGATCCTCACCGCTCCCCACTTTAAAGTGAAATTAAAATAAAAAGCACAAAAAGGTAAACCAAAAATTGGGCCTGGGTATAATCCACGCTTCAAGCCCAGTGAGCTCTCGTGTGAGGGGGCGTGTGAGATATATAGTCTCACATTGGTTGTATGAGCAACTAATGTTGAGTTTATAAGGCCTTGGGCACTCCCACCCTTTGAGCTAGC